GGGAGCGGAGGTGAAGGTTCGGAATCGGTTCTGAACCCGACCCCGCACACCTAAAACGACAATCTTTCCACCCTGTTGATTGTGCAAAGGATTGTTAGAGGGAATTTTGCTATTGGTCCGGAAAATGCCGGACCAATAGCAAAATTCCCTCTAACAATCCGCGCACCTTTCAACTCGACTGATATTTTTCTTTTTTAGGTGTGCCGGCAACACTAGTTGTATCCCCTGAAGGCCTGACCTAATAAGTTAACACAGATTTGTTGAGAAAAACTTCTCATTTTCCATCGGACGGCGTCCCCGCACAAATATGTACATGCCATACCCGGAGGACCTCACAAACGTGCTCGGTCACATCATGACACTGTAGCGAGCTTGGCATGTCTCAATCGGGATGTGTATATTTAGGTGATTTTCTATTTCTGTAGTGGGCTTTCTTGGGCCTTTCGTACGCATAGATGTGTGAAGATAAGAAGACGCAAGCCGTTGGGACGCCGACGGCGCCTTCCACCAATAGCGAGGGCACTGAACGGGACCGGTACTTATTTGTGGATATTCGTGCATCCGGAAGCCGGCTCAGGAAATTAGTTCTTATTTTGGGTTATACCGTGAACGCGAACGGACCTGACGGGTGTTCGAACGTTCATGCTCTCACCTATTCAGTTCAAGCCGAGCACAGCGATCATCGGCATCGACTCGGCAAAAACCATGCAGCTCAGTCTCTTGCAACTTTCCTTCTTCCAAAGGGACCCTTGCATTTAAAGGAAATCGGCCTCCACTTCATCATTGAAACACTTCTTCGCCCGTTCCATGTAGGCTATGTCGGATTCCGGAGCTCGGTCAGGCCATTTCCACTCCAGGCACACGACAGCGCACGACATCTTCAATGGCTTGGCATCTTCGGAAACCTCTGAGTCCAATTTGCAATTCCAGGTTTTCGACATCGTGCGCTCACCTACGCATGTAAACCGATTCGGATTTCATCCCCAATGTCGCGAGCTTCCAACTTATACCAAAGCTGTTTTTTGACTATCCGCATTTCTGTTAAAACACCGAGTTTCCGTGTACGCCGTTCCTGTCTGTCAATGATGGCTGTCAGATCTCACCAAGGATAGCAGGAATAGATGCGTGAAATAAAATCAGCGCACGTTTTGTCGCACCGACGGGGGACCTATACGAATATATGAATAGCGACCTTGGTCGACTCTAAACCGGGTACGGCCCGGGAGCAATCTTCTCTGGCCTCCTGCCCATGTGCGGATTGAAACGAGCCGCGGGTCCGGAAGTCGGCCGAACGGGGTTGCCGCCGCGTCCAACGTCAGCTGTTCCTCGCACGTTCGAATTCCCGCCAAGTGCCAAGCTTTACCCAACTCATTATATACCATTTATCTTGAGGTCCCATGTCAACGTCCACCATGACCCAGGCACTCTCCGTCCTCCAGGTGCTCGGAGAATTCTTCGTTGCGTTCTCCTCGTCCTCTTTGATGGTGCTCGCGCTCCTCCAGCTCGCGGCGGTTCCGTTCCCGCTGCTTGCCGTGGTGGAGATCAATTGTATCTGCGCACTGGTCGTATTCGCCGCTCTCCGGGCCTGTGGGATGTGGAATATCGTCCGCCCCAGTCCTCACTCCGGAGACGCTTCCCCCGTCAAGCTGCATGAGAAGGGAACTTGGGCTCCGCAATATCCACATACAGGCGGCGAACTTTCCAGGCCGCCAGGCGGGCGTTACGCAAAAAGTGTCGGGGAGCTATACGAGATGGTGTAAACAGAAGTACGTGGAATCGCCACATCTGACTGTCCCCCACCGAGCTTAACCATGGCGATAGCTCTGTTCTGAAGCCGTTCGTCTTATCCTCTGAGCCGAGGTGGCTGCTTCCAATTGTAGACAAGTGTATTGATATTTGGTCGGACGTAGCAAGCGGCGTGAATGACATGCGTGGTGTTCGCGCGGGGCCGCCGCTCGATAAAAATCTAGGAAGAGGTTCTCGACGAAAATGCCCAACTTGAAGTCTCGCAACATACAATGGTCAGTCGGTGGAGTTCGAATTGGAAAGGAGGACCCATATTTTTATGCATGCCCTGTCGTCCTCGACACTCCCTAATATGTAGGATGGGTTCATCGTTTAGTTCTTTGCAGCTCGTGCGGACGCATCGTGGATGCGGGTCTGGTCCATACAGGAAGTTTGGCTGGATTAAATGATGGAACTTGAACTCAGAAGGCGATCGATGGGATGCAGAATTCGACATCGATAGCATGGTACAAACGATATGAAGAGAAGCCTGCCGGAATATGAATCAAACTCCAGGCGGAGTTAGTCGGACGGCAGGGTCGTCGGGAGTGTATGCGACGCACCTCAGCAGACGCCCGCGAAATCGACGGGACCGGCTAAATTATAGACAGGGCTGGCTGGATAGAGGGCCAGAGTCCAAAGGACTCACCAACAAAACTCTGATCACGGCGGGGCGCATCGACTGCATGCGTGCTCGGTCTTACGGGTTCGGGCGTCGCCGCGCGCAAGCAGACAAATTCGCCGCTGGCGAAGGGGGCAGTGGGGTGAGTACGGGCGCCGGTGCAGCTGATGCTATGGTCGTCGGCGCGTTCCCCGTGCGCCAGCCTCCCGGCGCGGGGACTGGCGGGGTTCGGTGGTGCTTCCTCGGACGGCTAGATGCACAAATATCATTGAGTTGGTCGATTTGCAGACCCCCATCCGCACTATGATTCGTCTTGATGCTCTTCAACTCTGTGATCCCATTCTCCGTAAACGTCCCATCAATTTCCCTTCCGCTCTGGGTGGAAGTAAAGAGCACGTACAACTCCAACGCCCACTTCCCATCCCAGGTTACCGACCTCTGCAGGAAAAATCCTCGCCTCACCCGATGGACATCGCTGGAGGGCCCAGGAGGGAATTCGAAGTGGTAATGTAGAGCAGACTTTGGACCTCCGGGCTAACTGCGGCCGGGCGTTAAGAGATTGGAGGAGGGTGAAGAGATGCAAGAGAAACGCGAAGCACGGAGATGCGGTCCGGTGATGGGCCTCCCGGGTATTCCCGACCACCGCCACCCTGCCATTTCCGTCTACAAGTCTCAGAGACCGATCTTGTCCTCAAAAACAATTAGGGCAAGGGTTTATTCGTTCATCTGACCTGGAATGAGTCATCCATGAGTCGTACCCACCTTTGGTTTGCTATTCGAATCATTTCCATGATTCGACTATTCCTTGCTTGGTATCGAAGTTCCTCGGTACCGTATAGTGCCCGCTACATGTATAAAATAGCGAGTTATTGTATGAATCTACCAGAATTCTCCCGCACTTTTCGTTCTCTGATAGGACTCACCCCAGGCCTCGGATAGGCGAATATCTCACTTGAGCAAGTGCGGGATTTGTTGAGCTTCGCTCGACCTCGCATCTTGACGAGACTGGTACCTCTCCCGTATGTTCCCCCCCAGGAGACAATCATTCAACAGCATTCCGAATAACATACGAATTTTTCCAGAGCTCACAACTTCGACTATTCGACATAAATTCTACCGGAACCCATTTTTCCGGGTCACCCGCATTCGATCCTACGACGATGACGACCCCTCGTCCGAACCCACATTGCACGACCTCATTTCTGTCCTCTATCCCCATGCCCACCAGCCGTTCGCGTCAATTTGACGAACTTGGCACACCTGCGACGCGGCCCCGCGACGGCGGAGACCCTTACCTCAACGAATGCCGCACTTGATCAAGTGAGGTATTGTCCTGCCTATTCGAGGCCGGGTCTGAATCCTGTCAAACAAGCAAAAGGGCGAGAAAATTCTGTATGACAGCTGTGTCAATATTTTATACATGTAGCGTTCGAAGTAAGTCGAATAGTAATTAGGGCTGTATTTTCACCCTGGGGCCGTGCCGGATTTCGTGCCAGCCTACTCACGATATATACTGGGAAGGGAGGTCTTCGTTGAGTAAAGCACCTTCCTCTTCGAAACAGTCAGTTGCCAGCGTCGCACCAAGAAGTGTGGGTGGCTCAAATCCACACGAATACGAATATCCGCCGCTTGGTTGGAGCCGTGTTTTCTTCATCCTTCCGCGCACTCTCAATTCTTGGCCATTTATCAAAAGTACAGCTTCACAGGGAAAGTCTTCGTTAAGTAAAGTAACTCGACCCCTCCGAATGTGTGAGGATTTCCAGTAACGGTGGTTCGAACCCACCCGAAGACCTGGCTTGGTTGAGCATTTTTGGTCTGTGCCCCTTCCGGCTGCCGCATTTCTCATTCATTTCTCATAAATTTAGTCAAGGTACCGACAAAGTCTTCGTTGAGTAAAGCAACTGCCTCCCTTCCGATTTCCCCCCGTTAATTGAACTTACCGCGGGTTCGACCCGCCCGAGGACCTTAAATTTTCGTGGAACTCTTTTGGCCCCCTGCCCCAGCACTCTCACTTCTAGGCAACTCATTCAAATTACGTGCAGAGAGAGGAGATCTTCGTGGAGTAAAGAAACTCACTCTCTCTCAATTGGGATTGCGCAAAATCTTGGGGGAGTGCCGGCGGTTCGAATCCGCCCAAGGACCTAGTTGTAGTTTGTTAGCGCGCATTTTTTTGTGTGTCCCACCCCTAGCTCTCATTCCTTGCCACATTATTCAGGGTATACCCTCAGCCAGAAGTTCTTCGTAGAGGAAAGTAATTCTTGCCCGTCCACTTGAACTCGCGCGTTCATACTATTGCAGAGTGTTGGTGGTTCGAATCCGCCCGAAGACTTTGACGGGTGCATATTTTTTGTCCCACCCCCGGGGAATTCCTTGCCAACTTATTCAGGGTATATAACAAGCCAGGTATTCTTCGTAGAGTAAAGTAACTGCCTCCCTTCCCCTTGTGCCTGCACGTCATGTTAGTACGGAGTGTTGGTGATTCGAATCCGCCCGAAGACTTAAGAACAAAAGAATGTGATGTATATTTTAGGGGGTATTGCTGCCAGACAGTCTGAATCAAATGCAACTTTGAATGTATACAGTCAATCAACAAGTCTTCGTCGAGGAGGAAACTCACTTCCCTGAATACGAACTGATAGATTTGCGATGTAATGAAGGGAAGATACGTTGGTTCGAATCCAGCCGAAGACTTGACGGTGCAAGAAGCTTCCTTTTTTCTTTGTCCATCGTATTGGGCGCTCACATGGCTGTGGGTGGAGTTTGTAGATTGAGGGTGCAGATTTTGGGTCCGGTCGGGTGGGGACACGGAGCCCGATTCCTGAGAGCATAATTGATCTCGATCAACTCATGAGGCTCTCAAAATCAACACAGTCTCCAGTCCTTGTGGAGTATGCACGGGAACTACCTCTCAACTTACACAGATCGCTCCACGAAAAAGAGAGAGAAGGTGGTTCGACACCACCGGAGGACGTATGCGGGCATGACCCATTTTTATTTTTACACGCTGAACCAGGAGTTTGCTTACCTACCAAAAAGCATAAGTGGATCAGAGAAGAGCATTGGAGATGTGAGCGCTCACGCCGGATGGAAGTTGGTGGTCCCAACCCACTCGATAACGTGATTGTCTCGCATCCAGAATTGCATGACGGGAGTCTTCGTTGAGCAGGCAACTCATTAAATTTCCCTCCGTGAGAGATTTTCACGTTCTCCTAAAGGGGAGAGACGCTGGTTCGAACCCAGCCGAAGACTTGAGAAGACCCAGAAGCGATTTATTTTTATTCTTATTCTGTCATTCCGGTGGTGGTAAGGGGCAAACTTGTGACCGATTCATCGCTACCGGGTGAAGATGCGCGCAAATCCCGAGGAAGATGCACGCACCATATGCAATGGCGGAGCATTCCGCATTTTATCATTCACGACCTACGCGCACAGGGAGGTGCATACAGGGATTGGCTTGAGGGGATGGACTTACCTGGACACGAAATATTTAATTGCCTCGAGAAAGGCGGAGAATCCTGAGCGGGTCGTCGAGGGAAATAACCAGAGGCGTGAGGTAAATGACGTCCGGTGCCCAGGAGGTGCTCACCAGATGCGATAAGACGTAAAATATTCGGGGGGATAAGTGACGCAAGGAGGGAAGATGAAAGAGAAATCAGGCGAGATCCTGTGCATAAAAACGAATGGATGTAGGGCACCCAGATACCTGAACGCGAGGTGTACCGCACTGGGTGAAATCCATCAATCTCATTGAGGGCAGAGAAAATCCATCGTAGGTGCGCAAAGAGATTTCATCGGTGCCGAAATTGTCGAGTCCATGCCATATTCGTCACTTCGTTACTTCGCGTAGCGTTGCGGAAGTTCGCGAGTTTGATGGGAACCTGTGAATGTTCGTCACAGCAGCATCGTTTTGGGAAAGTTCGTGAGTTGCATGTTACACGGCAGTTTCTCGGCACATCACAAAGTGATGGGTATCAGCATTGCCGTCGGATCTCGGCAAACCCAAAACACTGTATCCACTTTGCGTGGGGGGTTAAGTTTGATTAGGCTTTGGTTAGAAAGTTAGGTTCAGTTACAGCTGTTTCCGAAAAGCGTGAGACAACTTGAATTTTTTTGCGTGCACAAAACTTTGATGGGAAGCTAAGGATTACTGGATTTGGATGGTCAGCCGAGATTGCCGTCGCTAGCCGTCGCTTCCGTCGATTTTGCTGGCCCCGAGATTTTATTCTCTCAAAGAGCTCTCCCTCTCATTGTACTGACTTAGTGGTCTTGTGTAGCTTCCGGAAGCCTCACAGGTCCCTGAAAGTGTGAGGCAGGTCCAGGCCTCGGTTGTGCCGATCGCAAAACGGCAGCTGATCCGTACCATATCCGGTAATCCTTAGCACTCCATCAAAAGTTTGTTGTGAGCAAAAAAAATCTCGTTGTCTCAAGCTTTTCGGAAACAGCTGTAAGTTCAGTTAGTCAAGTTTGGTTAAGGTTAGGTTCCCAGGTATATTGTAAAGGTTGATGAAGGAACTTGGGCAAACAGTGATGGCCGAGGTTTCAGGGTTGTGGAACGTGCCGAGTTGAAATGACGAACTTACGTGGAAAATTATTGGAAGTTACGAGCTTTCATTGAATGCCATCAAAGTTATGAAGTTTCGTGAAATTACGCGAAGTGACGAAGGTGAGTACTACTCGAAATTGTCTGGATACCAGGATATTACGTGCAGCACGATTTGGATTTGCCAATAATCACAATAATTTTACTCTCTCGTGTATTCCTCCCGTGTTCGCGGGACATCTGATTGGTATTGTTCAGATAAAGGGCAGAGCCCAGAGCTTTAGCTATTGAGTACATTTACTAGTATTTAGACTCTGGGCAGAAATATGCAGGAAGAAGTTGGGAAGAAGATAGAGGAAGGTGGTGAATTTGGACAACTCACCGTGACTGATGAGGTGATGGTAAAGAGAGGGAGAGAGCCAAGAGACGGAGATTCGTACTTCAGGACGAAAATCCAAGAAAATCGCGTGAGAACTTATGATAGAAGCCGCGCCTTTTTGGACAAGCCAAAGTTTGCACCTGTTTGGCATCCAGCTCCAATCCTTCCACCACGCCAGAACAAACACAGACTCGGATACGAGCAAAGATGGCATCTTCGCCGCTGCTCTCAATCCCCACCGAGCTCCTCCTGGCTGTAGTCGAGGCTGTCGACGATGCGGCGTCGCTGTGCAGCTTCGCCCTCACCTGTAAGCTCGCCCGCCTGCTAGCTGAGCCAGTCCTGTACCGCGCCATCCTGGTCACCACCGGCTCGCAAGCGTTGTGCCTCGCGAAAGCCCTACAGAAGCAGCAACCTCCCATGCGTGTAGAGCTCGTGAAAGCGCTGGATCTGCGGCCGGAGTTCAGAAGGGACGCGGACGTCGAGGCGCTGACGCCGCTAGTCGGGGCGATGACACAGTTGCGCGTGCTGTCGATGGAGAGCCCGTTCGCGAATTACGGTCGCTGGCGCGCCCGGGCCAGTCCTCGCCGGTGGGAGGCACTAATGCAGGGCTTCCGCGCGCTGTTCCTCGATGCCCAGTCCAGTGCTGCTTTGCAGAAGCTCAGAAGCTGTGAGTTTTTCCTGGTTTGTTCTGTCCGCAGGTTCTGACAGGGCTTAGTGACAATCCACTGGTCGGGCGATCGCAACCGCTTCTGGTTGCTCACAGAGTTCAAGCCGATCCTCACGCTGCCGGCCCTGCAGAGCCTCACTATCTCGTGCGCCATCCTGGGCGACGACCTCACCGACGGCTTGGCCACCTTCGCCGGCACCACACCCTTAACCCATCTCGAGCTAGTTGAGTGTTTCGTGTCACAAAAGGCGCTGACCGCCATGCTGGCACTCCCTCGTGCGTTGCAGTCCTGCAACTTGGGCCTCATGCGCTACCACAACCCCCCCTCCAACACTCACCACGAAGCCTCACCCGAGCAGCAGCTCGAGGCCTTGCAACAGCAGCACCACTCACTCCAGCAACTCACCTGGTTCGACAAGGACTTCGCCTACAACACAGACATCCATCACGTGTCCACCATCCCTGGGAGAGGCCTATACGATTTCACTGAGCTGCACACCCTCACCCTCGACGGCGCCTCTCCGCTGCTCTTTTCGGCCCTCCTCTCCGAGTGCGCGCCGCCCAACCTGGACCGACTGCGCATCATCCGCCACGACGAAGGCATCATCTTGGACCACCTCACCGAAGGCGTTGCCTCCACGCGTATCTCGGGGGTCCCACCACCCTTTTCTCTGCACAAGCATCTCCCCAAGCTGCACCACCTCGACCTCATTTTCCCTCGCGGCTACAATGCCGAGCCCCTCTGGGCCAAGCCCGACCGGCGCGACCACATCAAGCGCCTCGGAGAAGACTACCACGGCTGTGGTATCCATCTGGCGATCTTTGCCGCCAGCCGTGGCAGCGTGGTCCCCCCCTACCTGTTCGGCGAAGAGGTGCCGCGCGAGGAGCCCGCTTACCGCGCCGAGAACGCCTGGTTCTCGCCTGGAATGATGTAGGTAGAACATTGTCATGAGTGGCTTGGGTCGGTTAAAAGAGCTTGTTGACTTGATAAATGGATTGGTTGAGAGGTGGTAGTTGTATCTGTCGCTGTCGCTTCTTTTCCTACCCGCTAGACTCTCTTCTGTTTCACTCATCCTCCTGTAATGCATGCAGACACATTCTCTCCCTGTCCAGCATTCCTGAAAAACTGCTGACTTTATCTCAGCATTAACACAAGTTGCATAGGGTGCGAAGTCATAGGTGTGGGGACATGTACGGCTCGAGCCGAGGAGGATGGGTCGGGAGGGGCAAGGCTGCCTGGAAGGACAAAGAGAACAGCTGTCATAAGGACTCCAGATGCATCAACGAAGTCTACACGTTCACCTACCGTTGTCTGTCCATCAATCAAGGAAATGGCTTTATTGTACACCAGAGGAGCGTGGTACGTGGACGTCGGGACAATTTCGCGTCAACTCGCGAGAACTGTCAAAGACGGAGACGGATTTCAAGGTCGTGATTTGAGTGGCAACTTTTTGGGAGGCGGAGCGGGAAGCTAAGTAGAAAGGTAGGTTCACTGAGCTTCGAGGCATATAGAAACCGTGACAGGTACATCCAAGAGGACGCAAGCCAAGTATGTACGTACAACCACCCGCTGAGATAGATGCACTGCAGACAGCGGAAGCACTATATATCAGTGCCTCCGTACAACCAAAATATAGTGCCGAAAGCACTTCTAATTAGCGCATGGACACACTTATATATAGTGCCATGTGGCCAAAATTTCACTGATATGTAGTGCTTTTTCGTGTTTATTAGTGCTTCAAGGCACTCTTATGAAGTGCGTCAGCGCACTAATTTACCGTGCTCTTAGGCACTGATTCCAGGTCCTCCAGTTCAGTTTGCGTTCCAATTAATATATATTCAGATGTCTACTAGTCTACAAACTCGGGTATCTACATAACGACCCCGAAATGAGGTAGCCGCGCTCACCCAAACTACCGAAGTCCCGATAGAAGGGTTGAATCGCGTCTGGATATAATGAAGAAAACATAGAACGAGGTTGATTCAGCCAATCCAAAACAAAAATGCCAGAAGACTAACCATTTTGCACCTGAGAAAAGTAACGTAGAGCCGCATGCGGATGAAGGATCCGAAAACAGAGATCAGAGCAACGAACAAGGACAAGA